GTATAGAACACAGAAGTGTCGTACCTGGCAGTAAAAAGCAACCTTTACGTCCTGATGGGGAATAGGCCTGCCTTCCTTAAAATTCTTTCTCTTTCTATAGTTTTTGCCAACACTGCAGGTGAGATCATCTTTTTTGTGATTTCGGGAAATGTGAACTGATAACCGCGAACCTATACTAAAATCAAGCATTACAAAATCACGCAACTAAACAGCAATTCAAATGAGTATACAATCAGGTTGGTCGATTACTCCTTGGGATTTTCTCCAAAGTATTACGTATGCGCCAAAAACTTAGCTCAACACGTTGCGTTCTCTGGAAAAAGAAACGTAATCCGGTCGAAGACGATAAAAGCGAAACACTCGGTGAAATTTTGATCACTTGAAGCCAGCTCACCGCGACTGACTAAAAAAATGCATAAGATAGTTTGCGGAAGTTAAAAGACTTCGGTCGAAACACGGCGAAAGTCCTACACAAATTTTGTAAAGCAATTCCGGAAGGTGAGGGAACTTCACCGAAATGCAATTTTCTGTCACAATGCAAGGTCTGCAAGGCTGATGGTGAAACTTTTGAAAGATAATTTTAATCGAATATACATCACCCCGATGCGACAGTGTGAAGTACGTTAGAATCTTTCGAATACGGTGAAATAGTAATAGAAAAATACATCGACTGCAAGCGATGGAACACTACGATTACCCTAGAACTTACTTGTTTGATCAGTGTTACTGTTTGTTTCGAATCAAATCTAAGTTCTAGATATTGGATTTCGCCGGCTATCTCCCGCTATGCTCTGCTTAAACAGATCCCAATTAAAACAACTCAGTGCATGTCGAGAGCATGAATGAGCAGTCAGCCGTAAAATTCGAATCTGTTTATGCGAACCGGACTTAGATCATTCGACTGACAACAATTATTCACTTGTCGAAACATCAGTCGCTACTACCGATATTTATGTAGTCCTACTCAGAACTACACTCGTCCGGACGATCTGCCGACACATCACATAACTTAGTTATGTAACGTTCCTTGAATTTTTTTGTGCTTTAGACCTTGATTGCAGTTGAAGAAAGGAAGGGGAGAAAATAAATTCCCCCTTTCGGTTTCATATTTTTTCTCTCAATGACAAAACTAATTGCCGGCCTACTGTTACCTCAGTCAATAAAATTCAATAGTTATAAAAATCGGTATATCTACTATGTTTAGGACGTAGCACATTTTAGAGCCATTGTGTGCTATGGTCAATCATGATAACATTTCCATGGCCATCATTTTGAAAAAAAAAAACACTGATGGACAGAAACGTCCGACTATTTTATCGTGTGGTCAGTCACTTAGGAGTATACAGATTTAAAAATACAAAACAGGCAAAGATGTAAACGAACAAAAAATCTTAATGGCAAAAGACAGTACATAACAGGCTTATTTGGCAGAGAAATGGTCAGTTCGGATCAGTGCACCATATGTGCAGCCGCACTGAGAGCCTCATAATGCAAGCGTACCGACTCGACTTGTGTGTTTCTTCGACTCACCTCCTTATCGATAACTTTCGAATCGTGAGGCCTGGGCCTCTTAGTTAGAGTTCGTGATGTCTTTTGCCACAAGTATTGTTTTTTTTATTCCTAACTTTGTTTCATTCCTATCTGAGGCAGGTAAGTATACGATAACCCACCAGTTGATGCGTTTGGCGAATATTTCCTGTTGGCGCCAAATAGTCGCCTGTTGTTGAGGTGGGATCAAGTTACAAACACTGTTTCATTTGCTTTATAGAGTCGCAGCCCATCTTCATAAAGGAGCCTCCTTCCCCTTCCTTAGTTTTGGAAGGTAACGAATTATTTCTACAATGGAAATCCACTCTTGGTGAATCGCTTAGCGAAGCTAGGATCGATCTGTTGACAAACGGACCAACAAATGTTGCAGCTCTCAGTGCATTAGACGTTTTTCTGAAAAGACCAGTCCATATAGATCTTGCTTTCGTTGGTCGGGTGGCAGCAAATATTACAGATACACAAACAAACTTAACTTTCTTTTCGGTGAACAGAAATGATAGTGGGAAGTATCGACTTCAACTGGTTCTTGATAATGCAGCGCGAACGAAGGTGAACAGTGAAGTGACAATCACAGTGTTGTGTAAGTAGTAGCAATGATTGTACATAACGGTAAATTTATTAAACTTAGGAAATCACAGGGCTATGATGTGGGATTTAAAGAAGCAACGAATTTGAGCGATTGCCTTCATGTGTAAGTGTTAGTGATACGCGTGCACAAAGTCGTAAGATGTAAAAAAAACCAGGTTTTTTGGTCATCATTGTTTTATAGCTAAATAAACGTTAAATCGTTGGATAAGATACGATTGACTAGCGTGACACTTATATCGTTGGAGAAACTATTAAACGTTTTTTTCTCTATGCCGTGATAGCATTTTGAATTTTTCGCTTCGCATCTAAAGGATAAATTAAAAAAAAAGAAAAACATTGTCTGTTTCAACCAGCTCAGATCCACCAGAACTTGCCAGTGTTCAATTATGGTGATTTTGTTGTTATTGAAAGTGACCCACAAAACGAACGAGCGAAGTTTTGCAAGCGAGTGATTTTTGTGCTTAAATATCGCACAAAAACACTTCCAGATGAGGTTTGTTTATTATACACAAACTGAGATTCTCTTGCAATTCAAGCTGATTCATTTAAACCGCTTTTATAAGGATCCATCTCAAAGCTTTCTAAATAACTTACAAAAAGTGCCTTACAAGTTCTATCAAGGCTTAAAATATCAAATTTACATGCTTGATTAAATTAACTAAGCTTACAGCATGACAATTTCGCAACAATGAAATAGTTCTTCGTAAGTATTCATTCGAGAGATATACTGACAAAACTGACTCTTTCTATCTCAAAGGTGAGTTTCCTTCGTCGTCTGAAGAGTCAAATGTGAGTTCTATTTGCTCATAAGTTTTTTTGTTTACGTGATTCAGTTGAAAACGAGGACGAGTTGATATGGTAAAATTCCCTCCGAAAAAAAAAACACACCCTTTAATAGCCCTGCTGCCTGCTGCCGTCGGCGTCGGACTTCGTTGTTTCGACAACAGAGTGTGTTTCAGTTTAAACCATTTAAGTCGAGCCACTCAATATTCTTAACATACTTTTCTGTTTCTCATGTAAAACATGATTGTAGTTGCCGATACTCTGCAGATTTGTTTGTCCTGATAAGTGCGCTCTGTGATTAGGAGGAATATCCTTATCATTCAATGTTTAAATCGTTTCTTTTTCCGGCGCTGTATTCCGAAAGGATAGAGTTGCAAAACCGGCCTTCTCAGCCATGCTTCTCCGTTCGGAACTCCAGGAAGTCAAAGGTCTCTTTAATTTCCCCATGAGGTGGCCGGCTCACCACGTAGAAAAAGGAGATCGTTCGGTCCAATAACGCCGTGGAGATTATCAAGCTAATAACTGAGCAGATTGTGTCCATTCGTTCGTCAGCGATGGCATTAATTGTTTCAAATTTGTACTCCACGGTCAAAGCGAAACCAAAAATGGAACCTTAGTAATTTTGTAGACACTTACTATAGCATTTTATCATCAAGGTAAATAAATCTCAAGGCCCAAAGTCAATATAATGCTCGAGTGTGTAAGAGACTCCCTGAAAAAAAGCTACATTTTTGGATCGTGAAGAAATCCCTGTTCTATTTGTTGTACAGCGGGGATACTGAGTTGTTCAAATCTCCACTTAATGATGGGTTTCGCGCGAGTTGTACAAATTGCTATTGTTGCAATTAGGTTTTACATGAAGCACTACCGCTGAGAAGTTGCGATTTATGCTCTCAGATTCTCATTGTTTACGAGCGTTCAATCAGAGTTTTCCTCTTCTTTCTTTTTTATAGGTTACTTTTACTTTAGAATACGCGGAGATCTGCTAAAATACGGTCGAATTTTGAAAACCACATCTTTGTTTTATTAACTTAAAAATAGATTGAAATTTGCAAGAAACTTTGCAGAGAGTATCGTTTAAACATAAACGAGGACAGAATCTTTGAATAGCGCAATTTGAACCCTTTTGAGAATTTTTTCGCGGCCGTATTTGGATTATTCTTTAAGGAAACACTGTAGTTGATGGTGAACATCAAGGGCGCATGTAGTCGAACAATGGATTATGGACAGTTATGGATGCGCGTTCTTTCTGAAGTTTGCGCGCGCGAGGGCAATGGGGCAGCAGCGAAACTGTAAGAAAAAATGTCGCTTTTGTTGATGAAGAGCGCGCTGAAAACTGACGAAACTGACCACAATTAAAACTGGTTATGGACTTCAGGCTATTTTTATGCTTATTTCTTGGATTGCTTTGGTCAGGTCTCTGTATATGACTCGTGTATAAGTAGGGGATGATTTTTTGGGCTGATTTTTCGGTCATAAAAGGTCGATTAATGCACGGGTAAATACGGTAGGTGTTTTAAGAGATTTATATGACTGCATAAAATTGATTACTTGTCATTTATTTAACAGATCCACCAGAATTCACTAGCATCAGTGATGATGTTGTTCTTGTTGAAGGTGAAGGTGACCCCAGTGTTACTTTAGAGTGTACTGCAGATGGTGAACCAACACCAAACATCAGCTGGACCAGAGTATATGCTAATGAAAGTGATAGTGGTGTTCTGGCAACTGGGAATCAGTTTGTCCTTGAAAACAACAGAACTAACAGTGGAACATATTGCTGTACGGCATATAACGGGATAGGAACTACACCAAATCGCACAGTGAAAGTAGAAGTTAACTGTAAGTAGATAAACTGTATGTAGTGGCTTAAGTTTCGTTTTTAATTTTATAAAATAGGAATCATTTGTCATAATTTAGGTTAATATAACACAACTAAAACTCAAAAAAGAAAAGAAAGCATAAATCAACCACGAAGAAGTAAATTTACGCACTTTTATTAAGAAATGTAATTTCGAATAGATGGTGGTAATGCAAGTAGGGCACGTAAAAGCTTAAAACCCCAGCATAGAGCATTGTGAGATTCAGGGTTAATAAATAAAGAAAAAGGGGCTTACTGTAATTTGTGAACTGAAAAGAATGAAAACAAAATTAAAATCTGTAATTTGACAAATTGAAATCTTTTATTCTATAATTTGTGCAATTTTGCAAGTTACATATTTTTATTCTGCAAATTAAAGATTTCAATTATTTCTTTTCAGTTTGTTTCGCAAACTACAAAAAGCCAAAAAAAGCTGCAAGTCATAATAAAAAAAAAGGAAGAAGGAGCGACCAATCCCCTTGTGAAGTTGGACTTAACAGAAAAATGTTTGGCTTTTGGGTATGACATACAGGTAGGGACAGTTTGCTGCCCAACCCCTCCCCTCAATTTAAGGGTGTATGGCACTGTTGCATGCTCTGATACTGATGCACGATCAAATATTGTTTTTTATTTTCTCTAGTTAGACCAGAGATTGTCAAGCCATCGGTGAATGATTCAACCGCCTGTGAAGGTGATGTTATTAGTATCACCTGTTCAGCGGACAGCAGACCTGCAGTGCATACTTATCAACTGTTTGAGAATGGAATACTGGTTGTTGATGGAAACAGCTCAGCTTGGGTATGGATATTGAGGAGGGATTTAAGAGAAGGAAACTTTAGCTACAGATGTGTGGCTAATAACACCATTGGTACAACTGAGGAGACTTTCAGTATCGCAGTAAAAGGTATAGTGTGAGAACCTAGTTGTTTACTGTCATAGCTATTTTTTTATGTACAGTATGGCGAAGGTATGCTCGTTTTTACCTCACCTATACGAAAATGTCTCCCTTGACAAAGGCCTGAATACAGCCATACATTTAAACCAGACAAGAGCCTACATGCAAATACTATAGGACCAAAGTAAAGAGCCTAATAAGAACTTTGCACAAAGCGGGAAACGAGCAATAATCAACCACGCAAGAGCCAGACCAAAAATATCGTACACACTAGGAAACGAACCTGACTCGAGCCAGACAATAGCCTGACAGTCATCATGACAAGAGTGGTAATTCAGCCTGAATAATGGTAGACAAGATAAATTGTTCAGAAGAGGTAAACGAGCCTGGCATGAGTTGGGCATTAGGTTGGCGTCACACAAATGATAAGTGGTGAGGTAATAGCTGAAAATCCAGCCTTACTTTCGCTGTAAAACTCATAAGACACTTAAATAACAACAATGAAAATAGTTTATTAATAAACAAATCTTGATACTCTTATACGCTAAAATACAGTAACTGCACTTGATCTAATCTGAAAATAAGGCAAATGAGGGGAGAGGTTCTACTTAGCTGCATGTCCTATTCGAGCCATAGGTGTTTCCTCAACCAGACATGACAATTTTGGTTACGATGTAGCTTTGTCCGCTGGTTTTGCTTGCCTTTCTATTTCGAAGCAAAACAGTCATGTAGCCTGTAAATAGAAAGAACTTAAGGTACCATTTTGGCAAACTGATTGAAAGTCGCTCTGTAATGCTGAAGCCTGGTCGAAACTCGATTTATTCTATTAATCAATTAACTGACAAGCTAATCATTGCTCTCAAGCCAATTCATTTGAGCTCCATGTAGCTTAAAAGGAGCGATTGTGAGGAAAATTAACTTATACTTTGCTTCGACCTTTAGAACAGTTGTTAACGTTGGGCTTCTTCTCTATATGTATATCAGCACCATCTGGCATAATAGCGTAAATCTTGTTTGACTTTGAACTTCTTTTGCGTTGATTAAGTCACAAATTAAATCTTTTAGAACATTTACCCAGTCGGAGTAGAGGCGCGTTAACACTCCTAAGACTTTCAACCCTGCAAAGCAAATTTTCATGTAAACACCAAAAATTAAAAAAGAAAAATTTCCATCAATCGGCTCACATGCATAAATGCTTTTGAATTTCCCGTGGATTACAAACCTAATCAATGAAAATGAAATTTGTTACAAAACGTTATTTGACATGTGACCTGAAAACACGATGATTCATAGTTAATACTCAACTACAGTATAGCTCTTTATTCACGCTAGACTTGCACTCCCTAAGTAGTAGTGATGGCTGTTTCTGTGTTTGGATGAAAGAGGGGGGCATTGGGGTCTACAAGAAACCGCAAAAAAATTCGATCAAAACCGAACTGACCGCATGCAAAACCGTCTAAACTGATAAACTTGCACATCTTAGATGTCAAAATCCTAATCGACTTGCTGCTGTGATTACAAGTGGAGCAACATCGGTTTCGCGGCTATTCGCGATAGGTAGAGGCGTATAGCGGCTTCTCAGATCGAAGAGAAACCGGAACCCCAATTTAAAAAAACCCGAAAAGGTACATCGAGTAACAAATCTGAGTACTCGTCAAAACCGAAAAACCGATCTAAAAAATACCCAAAACCGCAAAATTGCATGCCCTACTGCCCCCCTAATGAAAATGTTGACATTTGGATTATCAGAGTCTAACGCAACTGTTTTTTTTTGTGTGTGTTCCCAAGCGCAGGGCTTGTATTCAAGGCTACTACTATTTTTGAACAAGATCCTACATTAAAATATTGTTGTTCTTTTCAAAGTTTTTCCTGCAAATTGCAAATCTCAAAGCTTTCCCCTAAACACCAAGTTTAATGTACTTTTTTATAGTCGTTCGATAAGCCTAAACTTAACCCATATCCCTGAATGAACAACTGTTTAGTTTTCCTTTCCAAAAAAAATGTTATAAACTTGTCTGTGTCAAGGAAACAGGCATAAACATGGTTGGGTGACTTTGTTATGTTATTCAAGTGACAGTGAAGTTTTGATCGGCATCAACAAGATGAGAATATTTAAAACAATTGCTTGTCTGGCTCGTGGCAGTCTCATGTTGGGCTCTGTAATCAGGCGCATTGACAAGATTAGATGTCACCTGAACAATGTGTGAAGGTATTCAGCGTTGTTTTGCTCTTTTCCTACCCTTGCCCTACTCCTGTTAGCCTTGCCTGGCCAGTCATGGCCCAGACAAGAGTGTAAAATTTGTCTAGCTCTTTGGCTGAGAACCAGACAGTTTTTTGGTGTGGCTCTTTTCATGTTTATGTGTAGCTCTATGAACAGTAATCAGAGTGGAATCAGGCTGCGTTTAGGCTCTGGCAGACTCCCAAATTTTGTACAGACTGTTGTGTTACACTCTCATTGCAAGTTTGTCCCGTGTAATGCTATGTATCGAGTATTTAACCTCAAGTGATAACTTTAAAAGTGAATTAAGTGTTCAGGGTGTAAGAGATGTTTTAATCACTGAACTTAACTGGGATGATTAACTGGGCGATACATGTAGTTAATAAAATAGACGAAAATTGTACAAGTACATGTAGATTTGGTTTAGTTCATAACAAAGCCTGCTGAGATGGAGATCCAAAGCGGTTGCACAAGTTTTATCTCGTAGTCTTCTTCAGCTGTGGCTGAAATGCATGTACAATATACCCGGAATTCACCTTTCACTTAGCCTGCAAATTTAGCCAGAAGCCAAAACTCAATCAAAACCCGGATAGAGGAGAAAGAAAAGAAATGAAAACATACCTGGAGTCATAGGATAAGATACAAATAACCATGAACCCATTGAAATAATTTACATCTTGTGAAATGAGCTTAAGCTGCAAAGTTTCTTCATTTTAAAGGAATACATTTACTTTGGCATTATACAAATGTAGATAGTTATATAAATGTATATGTTTATCTATAATTATATTATACTGGTCCTGTATATATGAAAGAAAGGGAAAACTTGACGAGTGTGTACAAAATAGTTTTATGTACTCTTACACTTGTAGTTTATTCTCTTTTTCGGCTATGCAGTACCCTCTAAAATTTATCCTTTTGAGAACATCACGGTGATAGAAGGCGACAACAGGACTTTAACATGTAATGCTTCTGGAAGTATGCTGACTGTGACATGGACGGAAGTTAGCACGGGTAGTCAGTCCAACGGAATCATACGTGATCTTACAAACATCAGTAGGAATGATGCTGGTGAATACAAATGTGAAGCTGTAAATGACTGTGGAACCAGCTCTGCCAGCACTTTCCTCTCTGTGCTCTGTAAGTGATCATTGTTAATTAATAATTAATAACGAATAGTTGATTAATAATTGAGTGTCTGTCTACATTTAGGTATAGAGTATTTATCTAATTAATTAATAATTAATAATGAATAGTTGATTAATAATTGAGTGTCTGTCTACATTTAGGTATAGAGTATTTATCAGTTGTAGCACATTTTCTACTCTTTGTTAGGTGATAGTGTGAGTTCCTAGATTCCTGAGCTGTGAGGCACTTTCCTCTCTCCTTCAGTTCGAGCTTGTATAGAAATTAAAACAGCGTAAGAAGCACTTGGGAGGCTGCATTGTTTTAACGCATTGAAAATTGAAGAGATTAATACAGGGGCACAAATGATATGAAATATCTTTCTTAGTGTTCATGTTGATACATCAAGTTCCACTCAACCAAAGAAATTCATATATAACAGGCAGCCATGCATTATATTGGTTAGCATCTTAAATCTCAGTTTTGTTAGCAACCATAATCCGTGACAATTTTTTCAAACTACGTTGGATTTAGAGTAGTTAATGCTTTGTTATTATTTTACATGTATTTATTAGCTTGTCAGATTGGAAATTTGAAGGGGAAGGTGTCTCGGCAGCTGACTGGCGGCATCATATAAATTAATAATTGTCATAAGTACACATGTTAAGGCTTTTCTACGGGCCGGAAATTAATAAACAACAACAAAAAGCAAGAAGATTTTGGAGGACCCTGACTGACTCGTAAAATGTATATTGTTTTAGCGATCTGTAAACTTCTACTTTTGATTGAATTCTTACAGATAAACCAGAGAATTTCAAGTTCACACTAAGTAAATCAACTGTGTGCCAAGGTTCTGTAGTCATCTTCAACTGTTCAGCAGATGGAAATCCTGACGTGGATACCTATCAGTTGTTTGAGAATGATAAACCTGTGAGTGATGGCGGCAACAGTCTTGGAACGTGGAGCAGGATTATGTCAACTGGAGGAGTGTTCAACTACAAATGCGTGGCAAACAACTCTGTAGGAACAGCACACAGTATGAGCTTCACTGTTACCGTAAATGGTAAGGAACTGATACAGTTAATGGTGGTAAATTCCACAAAATACAAATGTGCCTTTGCTGAATGTTCAGCATTTTTTTTTCAACCAGAATCTCTCTCTTTATCTGATTTCTTCAGGAAAATGGAGATTTCATTTTTTTGGTCAAGGTAAAGAATTAAATTCTACCAAGGCGTCGGCTGACTGTTGAACAAAAGTCGGTCGACTGTCGGCCGACTATCGGCCGACGCGTTGGCCTCCATTTATTCTTATGACGTACAAGATGAGTCGGTGGTGGGTCCGTGATGTGTTGGTGTGTCGGTGGTGCGTTGGTGACTGTTAAAAGGAGATCTCATGGATATAACTTATTTATTGTTTATAGTGTCTTTCAAAAATTTTAGACTGGATGTGGGTTACGAATCATTGTCCACTTGCCCTTGAAAAAGCAGAAATTGTCCTTCTTTAATGGTCATGGAAGATATTATGGAATAAATGGAGGCATTCGTATCATCCTAATAATGATCCTCATTGCGTATAAAGCAACTGGATTCAAACTTGGACGCATTTGGTTCTCAAAACTCAATGTGTGCTTCTCTTAAAACTTCTAGCTGTTGAACATGAAACTGAAATTAGGATACAATTCGAAATGTGACCATAGACACCAAAAGTGCATTTTCGCCGATGAAATGACCAATTCTGAACTGTATTCCCTTGAGTGCTTCACAACAGTTTGAAAATGCGCCGTTATAATTTCAAAATTATCTGCAGGGCTGAATTAAAGGGACACGGTCACGGTCTGCGCATGCTTGTGTAGCCGATCGAAACTTGAAAAAGGAATTCTGACTTTTTATAGTAGCATTCATAAATTCAAAATGGCGTCTAGCAGAGGATCCGGACATGGCGGTAAACGCATTAACTCAGGGCGGAAACGAAACGTTGAATACAGAGGGAAATACAAGAAAGCGTAGCTGAGGAACCATAAGCGTATTTATGCGGAAGAAAAGACATTTAAGTTTTGGCTGCAGGCAAAATTTCCTGCAGGTTATGAGTCGCTCAGCGACAGTGATTTTACTGATAGAAAAATAAAATAATGCCAGATATCACAGACATTTTTAGCATTTGAGAGACAGATGTTTATTCTATTACAAATTATAATTGGAATACAGATGAGCCTCAGGCGAACTCTACGGCTTTCATAAATATAGGCAGATGACGACTGCTCGTTCGAATCCTGAAGAAAGGGAATACACAAATTATTTCGTATGCTTTTTGGACATTAGAGCCACAGAAGAAGTGAATGTATACAACTTTATATGCGTGTATTCAACTTTATATGCATACCCTGTTTCTGTAAGGTTTATTGCTTGTTCCACATTTACATTCATATGTACACAGCACGTTTCTCCCTTTGCACGGGCACCCACGAGAACTTTTTTCTTTGCACCTCGTCGTACAAGCACTTTTACATTTACAAAAGATCACCGAAGGTTCCTCAGTAAAAGAAATTCACTTTCATGAACATTTGCTTTGGATAAACTTGATTTAAATGCAAAATTTATGCAGAACTCTTCAACTCACTGATACTTCCACAATGGCCGTCGAGCGTGACAAGTCTCGGAGAGAGTGTATGCTACTGCACATGACAACCCGGGACGGTGTCCCCTTAAGTTATACAGGAGCGCAAGCTATTTTGAGGTTTTGTGGTATGAGATTTCTATGCTTATTTAGTATAATTTCAGAGCTGAGCATAGAGTTTCCAGCAATCTGATTGGTGGAGCGTTCCCTATAAGACGCTATATAAACCGCTCCACGCGGTTTATATAAAATGTTAAAATAAAATGTTAATAAATGTTACTAAAATGTTATGATTTTAGAAATTTCTCTGTTGTTCAGCTCTGAAATTATACTAAAACAATTATTCGCCTCAGGTTTGGTGAATATTGTCCAATAATCCCGGTAAACTTTAGAGAGGACATCCACTAAAATAGGAAGGATCTCACTCAAGAGAGACCAAGGATCCTCAATGCTACTGACGAGGTCCCACCCAGAAGTTCCATAGGATGGGAATCCCTTCAGCTGGGTTCCTGCCTATTCAGGTCCCGGGATCCTGTATGGGATTGACAAAATCCCACCTGGGATCCCATCTGGGATCCCATCTGGGAGGTTCCATTATCCTAGGCAGGATCCCAGCTGGGATCCCAGCCTAATTAGGTTCTTCCACCTGGTATCTCGGTAAGTGGACTGGAAATTTTGCCATATGAACACTTCATACCTGTTGCGGGAATGAATTCTTTGTACATTCGTTTTAACCTTCGTAACCAATAATTTCGCTTCCGCAAGAAAGCGGCCCGAATAGCATCGTTTTCCTTTCTCTGAGGAATCTTCCGCATCATTAGCAACCCATTTAACTGCAGCAATACAGCTAAAAGGTTTGCCAAAACCATGATAGGCGCAAATGTAATATCTCGCTTGCGTTTCGCCGTCTTTGTATTGTTTTTCTGCCTTTAAAAGCACACACAACCCACAATTCCTCTATTCGCTCCGACGAAGGGCTAACGCCCGAAACGTCAGCTTTTGTAATCGTTACGGTGGCCAATTTACCACTTCAACTTTGTTGATATATCCATATTATTTCGTTACTCCCACCGACGCAGCCCCAAAAATTTTCTTTCGAAACTATCAGCCTTTCCTCATTTTTATTGTTCTAATTTGTTCTAATGCCCAGGATCTTTGGCATTTTCTCATCTCGGAAACCGGGCTGAATTTTCTCATATGAACCCAAGGCGAAATTAGTCCCGGTAAGCGGGCCAGCCCGGTCAACCGGCCTCATATGAGGAGGCCCAAAGTAAACACGTGTGCATATTTTATCTAGTACACAAAGGATGATAATATTAGTAACATAACGTGTCTCTGTTCTCATCTTCTCATCTTGTTTCCTAAGGCTGCACACAAATTAGTAAATTGAATATGCAAATGAGCCTTCAACCAATTTGCCTGAACTCACAAGATTTGTATTTGAAATTGTTGTGAGAAGTCACAATTTGTATTGTGGGCAATATTTCATAAGATTTTGAAATGAATCATTGCCCCCTCCAAAATACAATTATATTTGATTCATAGTGGTTGAATACTACAACTTGAGCAGTACACTGTAAAAGGCTGGAAGTAATATTTTTTTGTATTTCATATTTTAGTACGTTCATCTATACAAGAAATACCAGGTAAAAATGTAACTGAAGGAAAAAATGTGACTCTGACATGTAATGTATCTGGAATCCCTCCACCAGTGGTGTCTTGGATGACGCCTTATGGTCAGAGTACTGTTGCAAAAGTGTAGGTGGTTACAAACATTAGCAGGAGACAAGCTGGTGAATATAAGTGTGAAGCTAGTAATGACTGTGGAAATGTAACAGAGACAGCAATTATTAATGTTCAGTGTAAGTAAAAGATATTCTTTACTAATTATTTCTTGTATTTCTGTCTTAGTATAACTACTTGCCTTAGTGTCGCTTTATTGTTGGACAGACTTGTATATGTGCAAAACTCAAATGCATCGCTAAAAAATTTCTTATAAGTGGGTGAAAGTTAATTTGCTTATTGTAATTGATCAATGAAAAAAGAAACTCATACTTGAGTTGTAGTCACAGTAAGCTAAAATGAGGGGTTTTCCAAAAGTTATAACATCACTTTGGTTACACAGACAAAAAAAAAATCACAACTGTTAACGAACAACTGTGCAAACTGAAAAGCCATTTGTGGCCCAGAAAGCTATAAGCTGAGCAATGACACGAGCCACTGCTAGATCCATCTTCCACCTCGGCCCTCAACGAGGCAGTGCAAGAACAGCTCTCTCTTGTCCACATCTTCGTCTGCAACTATCGCGCATTTGACTGTTCTCATTGTCAAGGTCTACTTTCTTCGACACATGTCATCTTCAAAAGTAGAAAAAAAATTTAGAAAAAAAGTATATGAGGCCAACAACTCTTTAGGATCAAGAGTCAGTTCATATATTATGGTGACGGTAAATGGTAAGCTTAACTGTACATACTAAAGCTGTAAGTCTGTTTTCTCGCATTCAATCACCAATTTCACATCATTCAAGAGTAAGTGGAGTCAAGGTGTGGATTTATCAAATATTATAGTTATAAATTGTCTCTTCTTCCTTAGACAAACCAGAGAATGTCCAGTTAATCAATTCTGCCATGGACAACAAAGCGTGCAAGGGAGAAGTTATCACCTTCAACTGCTCAGCTGATCCTAAGCCAGCGGTGACGTCATACCAGCTGTATAAGAATGACACTGTTATGTACGCCAGCCTTTCAGGAATGTGGAGGGAGACATTAGAAAGTGGAGGAGTGTTTGTGTACAAATGTGTGGCTAACAACAGTGTGGGATCAACATACAGTGCGGATGTTATGTTCACTGTGAATGGTGAGCCTTGATCTTTTTATTTTGCTAGGTTAATAATGTACGATTGAATTTTATGGCTTTATCCAGTGTCTGCGAGAAATGTTTAATACACATCACTTTTGGGAAAAGGCTTAACTTACAACTATCTTTTTAAAGAGTTTCAGTTTAACTCACACTAGACCCCTTTAATAGTGATAATAGATAAAGAATAATAACTTTTTCCTAATGATAAAGCAACTCTGATGCGAATCGCGACATTTTGAGTGTGTACTGCCAGCTTTGTTTAAGGGTTGAGGTTGTCTGTACTCAAATTTATTTACCATATTAGCTGTAATAGTGTTTGCCAGGCACAGAACCATTAAGAGATCTGTTTATTTGCGGTTTGCCGTTTCAACTCGTTGGAGAAAGAAATCGAAAATCTAGAGTTATTACAAAAGCTACAACTTCGGAGAAAACCTGTTGAGGCACATAACAAAAATACCTATTTTTTGCACTCACCCTGACAAAAATGCTTACCGTCGCAAATTCAAAGATTGTTTCCCCCCTCCCCTATTGCGATGTTGTTTGCGGTAACACAAGAAATGCATGCTTGAGCTGTTAAGCCCCAACGGCATTGTACCAGGGGTGGGGAGGGGGCCAAGTTTGTTCCTTTTGGAAACGATTGTTGCATGGCGGGAAATTAAAATTGCATTGCAATTTCTCAACAGTTTTGTTCGGGGTTGTAGCTCTTCTGCTTGTTGACAGATAAATGCGTACTTCAATTTATTTTTTTTACAGTGCCTCCATCCATACAACTAATCAACAACAAGAAGGTTATTAAAGGTGACAATGTGACTCTGATGTGTAAGGTATCTGGAATGCCTCCACCAATGGTGTCTTGGATGAAACCTAATAGTCAGCGTCAAAGTGGATATATGTTGGAGCTTGTGACCATTAGCAGGAATGAAGCTGGTGAATACAAATGTGAAGCCAGTAATGAGTGTGGTAATGTAACAGAGATGGCAACAATTGATGTCCACTGTAAGTTTGTTGACGTCGACTGCATTTATTGTCGGTTCTTCGAACTTGAGATCTTAACTGGCGTACCTGTTCATTAACGCATCCAAAATCCGACAGTTTTTCATCAGAATTTGAAATGAAATAAAAATCCTTGAATTTTTAACGACTCTTTCATTATTTGTTCCTTTTAAAGATGCACCAACGATTACAAACAGTTCTGGTGGGCAGACTGTAAACAAAGGTCACGTGATGAGTTTGTTCTGTACGGCAGAAGGTAATCCAGCACCAACTATAACGTGGACAAAAGTGGACGATGATAACAGTCCAGTGAACTTCCCTTTGATCATCCGTGGTAGTCAGGATGAAGGACTGTACAGATGTACTGCTAAGAATGGTGTTGGAAGCGCTGTGACTAGGGATGTCAGCATAACAGTACATCGTAAGTGAAGTATTTATGGCTGTTATGATTGTATTTTGTTTGCTTACAACATTGACCTACAATAGGTGTACAATCCACAAAGTTCTTGTGTTTGTTTGTTCAGAATGATGCCTTCTATGGAACGATTTCAAATGAGTCTCGAAAGCAATCTGGCATTGGTTTGGTTTTACTGAACTCAGCTCTTAGATTGTTCCAGAAAACTCGTGCTATCCTTTCCACCAATCAGATGTAAAACCAAAACAATTGAGACTTGGTCACGCCTCAGGAAGTCTGCTTATTTTCACGACGTGCTCTGATTGGCTACCGATCATGTTAACCTTCTTATTGGTCGCTCTGATTATAGTTGTTTTGGGTTTTCCGACACTTAATTGGGAACTACTCTTAAGTAACCAAGTTGCCAAGTCCCTTGATGCTTGTTACGAGGTTCTTTTAACTGATGATGTGAAGATTTGAACTGTTGTTGTCAATTTATATACATGCATGGTTTTTGGTAGGGTTCTGGTAAATGTCAATTTTTCATGTATTTGTGTCGGTACGTTTATGTTACGAAATTGTGTTACAAAGTCAAGTCAACACTTAGCCAGTGTGTAAATGGAAATCCTAAGCTTATCTAACGGGTAAACCCTCACTTGTACAGTGCTAAGCACAGGTAGGAACTTATTCAAAGATTTCCATAGAATGGAGCTTCAAATTATTATGAGAAATAGTCTAACAAGTTCTTTTCTTCGTGCATATAAACAGTTAAAAAAATTTAGTGTGTAAGTTTTTCCTTTTTAATTAAAAACATCAGCAAAACTTTTATTTGACCAATAGTGTCGTGTTACTGTTTCTGCTTGTAGGAAACCCTTGCCTTGAGGAATGTACGAATGGACGAAATTGTAGAGAATTCGGAAAATACCTTTGCTTATGTCCAAAAGGGAAAACAGGACAAAATTGCAAAGAAAATGGTAAGTTGAGCAAAGACAGACGATGGCGGCCGAAGATTTCTCACAAATTGGTTAACTAGAAGTCGATAATTGAGACTCAAGGGTGCGAAAGAGGAGGGGAACTATGTTTACTGGTACTGCAAGTCTAAACAGATGCATTACTAAAGTCAGTGGTCTTACAGCTACTGACGAGAGATAGCTTCTAAGAATTCCCAAGGATAATTTATTAAATTGTCATCCTGGCGTACGTCGGTTGTTCCATGGAGTTGTTGTTATTTCTACTCGTTGGTGTTTGGATGAGAATGCCCAAAAGATTCTAAGAAGTTCAATTCGTTATGGCAACAATATAGGTCAGGAATATTTGGATAATTCAAGGTTTCTGGGGAACGAGCCCAGAAGCCCCTGATCAAAAACGACCACGATTCCTCGTTTTGCCAAGCTTCGACATACGAGCTTTGATTATCCAATCGAGCCTCGATTTTGCAATCGTGCCTCGATTTTGCAATCGTGCCTCGATTTTGCAATCGAGCCTCGATTTTGCAATCAATGTAAAAAGGGGGTTGACAGGCCTACACAACTCCCCAGCGCGTGTTTAGAGTAGCCTATTCAAAGTTTGGCCCCATTGAGTATGTCTTTGGGCGACCTTCCTCTTTTGTAAGCCTGGCGAGGGTAGCCAGCGGCCTGCAGTCGACAAAAAAACCAGTTAGCTCCCCTGGTCTTCTCGAGAGGTTTCGTCAAGACCACATTGTTCTGATCACACATTTCCATTCGATGTTGATTGGTCGTGCTCGTTTTTGATAAGGGGCTTTTGGGCTCGTTTCCCAGAAACCTTGAATGATCCGAATATTTTGAGTATAAAAAACCATCACTAGCTGAAATATCAGAGTGGTATAAGGGAACCACTTTGCTTCTTTTGCTTCAACTTCGCTGCTTAGTTTGATAGTAGGTAATGAATGTTGTGCTCACAAACGTCTTCAGACGATCAAGTTTGCAATTTCGTTTCCTTTTGCTTCAATAGACACAATGGCGGTTGTTATCATGATCAGCCTTAAAATTAATAATAAAAAGTGGAGAGAGGAACTTACCGACTTGTCTGACTTAGATACACAAGGGTTTGTTGGAGTAATCGTAGATTCGGTAAGTCCTTTACGTTGTTCTAATTTTGAAAAGGTACGGAATATTTTGTTCTGATAAATAAACAACCAATTATTTTCCATGAAACAATACCCTACAGTATCCTGCTTTATTTTCTCTTTTAACTCCCGCAGTAAAACAGAAGGGAGGAATTTTTTTAATCCCTATTGCTCTAACACAACATAACATAACATACATGTTTATTCAAACTCATATATAACTACATAAATTTGAAAGGGAGAGTCAAGAGGTTAACCCTATGAATAAAACTCCACTAAAAACTACGACAACAACAAAAAAAAACAACAAAAAGAGAACCAAAAAAACCCTTAGATTCATAGCTTTAAAAAGGATTTAAGTTTACATGTAAAAAGTTCTAGGCTACTGGCTTTAACAACATTACTAGGTAAATTATTCCAATGACTAATTACATTGTTAAAAAAAGAATATTTGAAACAGTTAACTCTAGATAATTTACAATAAAGCTTATACGAGTTATTCGCCCTAGTAGATTTGACTTTTGCGAATTCAAAGAATTCCTCAAAATCCAAGCGTGAAAAGCCAAACACGATCTTGTAACATTCAACAAGAGAGGAATACATCCTACGACTAGACAAAGATGGCCAATGTAACTTGTCGCAACGCTCTTCATAAGACATATCATCTCTTTTCTGCCTAAGAGCAAACCTTGACGCGCGTCTTTGCACGCTCTCTATTGCATGAATATCTTTGACGAGATATGGGTTCCAGACTGGAGCAGTATACTCCAGAAATGGTCTGACAAATGTTCTGTAAAGCAATGAAAAAGTTGTTGTATTAGCTGTTCCAACAGTCCGTCTTATTACCCCTAGGACTTGGTTCGCCTTATTCACAATAGTACTAATATGTTCACTCCAAGTAAGATCTTTTGATATAATAGTTCGAAGATCTTTAAAGCTCTTAACATCTTTTAAGGCCTTACGTAGTTTATAATTCGTAGTCTATTTGTCACGAGAATGCGTTATTCGCATTGATTCACGCTTGTCCTCATTAAAGCGAAGTTGCCATTTTTTCGCCCAATTACTAAGATTATTCAAATCAGTGTGGAGGTACTGTTCATCTAGACTAGGGTTGCGAAGCTCTTTGTAAATCTTTGTGTCATCCGCAAGTAATTTAATTTTAGAAGAGACACAATCAACGATATCATTTATATATGATAAAAATAGAATTGGACCAAGAATAGTTCCTTGTGGGGTACCAGATATCACAGGTGCCCAATCAGAAAAAGTTCCTCTTACAACAACTCGTTGCCTTCTACACGTGAGGAAATGCCTCAACCAATGAAATAGTTTGCCCTCAATACCGAGACTATGTAACTTTATGAGTAGGCGTTCATGAGGAACACTATCAAAAGCCTTTGCGAGATCAAGAAATACAACATCTGTTGGTACAGATGAATTTCTAGATGTGGGGAGGTCATGAAAAGTAGAGAGTAATTGGATCACAGATGACCTACCCTGCAGAAAACAAAATTCGTTTTTGTTTGTCACGTTTTGGTCATGCCAAAATGACGTTAACCTCTGAAAAATTTTTTCTTTTCCTGTGAAAAGGAAAACTTTCTCTTGCTTAATGGAGATTAATCCAGTCTAAACATTAACAAAGAAATGGACCTCGTATTAAATCGAAGTTTTTTTAGAGCTCAAAGCATCATAAAGTGAGAAGTGTTTTACGTAAAGAATGAAAAACGTTTCCCTATTTTTAAATTGTAATTAACAAATCAAAACATCCTTCCTTTAACTGAGGGTTCATCTTCAATGTCGGATGCAGTGGAACCTCATTCTTTCTCAACCTGACTGACCTATAATTTGAATATCAATACTTTTTAGGTGGATGTAGAATTCAAAGGTTCTGGTGTCAGAGAAATTAATGTGACGCGACTGAGGTATCATCATTCATTGATGAAAAAATCTACTTACTCTTCTTTAGTTGTACTTTTGTTTATGTTTCTGAATTACTCCTTAAAACATGAACTTTTATTACTTTTATTACTTATCTCATTGGCAGAGAGGGAAGTGTCATTGCAGACATATCGCTCACATTTGGCGAGCCTGTTGGAGAAAGTGAGGTAGAATCATTTCTACAAGATGCGGTTAATGATGGAGGCCTTGGTACTCTAAGAGTAGATACTTTCGTCGTAGGACCAACTCTTCCAGGTATGTATAAACTTTCACCTACGGTAAATTCGAGTGTAACGAACGGAAGTTGAGTCTCTAAATTGAGGATTTGTGGTACAGACGCATTACTTTTGTGTTAGAAATTCTCGGAAGTTGCGTTTTTAACCCGAGCTCGTGCGACAAAGACGTTAAAACTGGTACTTTGCATAACATGATGATGGTATTGAACAGAGGGTGTACACTGAGCACATTATTCAGTTCCGCGGCTGATACAAATTATAGAAAGTTTGCGAGTTCTTTACATGCTATGCATAGCAGATACATGGACACAGCTGTTTTTAATGTCATATTTGTCTAAGATTTAGTCACGGTTCCCGGTCCAGTTCCATCAGAACCAACAAAGGTGAATAAGGATGTTATTTACGGCTCAGTTATTGGGGTCCTTGGCCTGATTCTCGCTGTTATTGCCGTTTTCACTGCCTGGAAACACCGCCAACGTAAGTAAGCTTACTTTTTTCAATTGCTTAACGTTCTCATACGAGAGGCTAGTAACTGAGATGTATGAATTGTGGTGGGTTGATAAAGAGAGATTCGATTGAAGAAAATAAAGGATGTTAAGAAGGGAAAAGGAAAGAAAAAGCAGCAATGAATCGGATAACTTGCAACAGTGTAAACGTTTCTTAAAATCTTTCAGTTCATGACACCAATCACCAACCTTTTGTTCGATATTATTATTATTAATTAAAAGTGTTCATAGGCGAAGGAGTTTGAAGTGCGTCAATTAGTGATGAGGATTAATAAATGTTGCAGTTGCTTTCTTTTAATCTGATATCATTTCTTAATTTTTTTCACACTTTTTAGGTGAAAGAGATGATCGGTAAGATGGCATTAATATAAAAAGCTAATTATGCGGCAGCATCCGTAGATCCGATTAGCAGAAAACGTGCTGTGCTTGTATTTATAGTCATTTGAAAACTTTCAGTTCTTATCGTTCGGAGAACATTTTTTGTTTAATTTAGCCAGATAAAAGTGTGACAGTTTGAGAAAAAAGTTGAGTTTAACAGATTCGATATAGTTACGTTGCATGAGGAACCAATGTGGTTCAGTTAATATTTTGCACCAACAAGTGTTATTGAGATTTACAGTGGTCAGTGTCTTTGAAAATAAGTCTAGCGTTTGATTTTCTTCCAGACTTAATGCAAGTACTAGGAAGTCACGCACTCTTAAAATTGTAAGTATGGTGTGCATTTTTTCAGAATACCCCACTCTACGATGATCAGCAAACATCTATCCTAATGCATAGTAATGATTTATTTTACCCACGCCTTAATACCCTTGTGAATCAGATGAAGTTTGGATTTAGAAGTCAGATTGCACTTTGCCGACAGGTTACCATTATTCTCAGAAATTGGTGATGCATTTACACGTCAAATCGTCTTGGTATTAATTCGAAAATGCTTGATGAAAGGGCATTAAAGTTAGCGAATGTCATTATATAATAAAAAAAAATCTTGTACAATTAGGACTTTCCTATATTCTGGATTGCAAAACGATCAAACGAAAATAGAGAAAAGAACGTATTATACCATGAAATGGACAATGTTCCCAATCATTATGGGAAAGAAACTATGCTAAACTAAACGTTACTTTCGTTACGCTGGAAAACAGAACGAGGGATTTGAACTGGAAAGCATCAATGGAAACCTTAACACTGTCGCGCATCATGGCCCAGGACATTACATGGACCTGAATGAAGTTAGATCACGAAATGGACCTGCCACAGACCCAACACGAAGCTATTTAGAAATAAACGAATATGCTCCCCTGCATCCAGGAACGCGCTCGTGGGAAGTGGAGAGAGAAAACGTTACAATTGAAAAGGTGATCGGAAAAGGTGCCTTTGGACAAGTCGCTCAAGGAAAAGCTTCAAACCTTCGAGGAAGAGAGGAGACAATAACAGTTGCCATAAAAATGCTGAAAGGTACTCTATTCATTNAGTTGCTTACGTGTGCCATTGTCCTTTATTCCAACCACCATTCTGTCGCGAATGAGACTGTCCAAAAGTGCACCATAATTACACGTCCTCGCCAATGTGCGAAGTGCCGCAACATACGAATCAATGGACTCTCCTGACTCGTGATCCCTCTTGTTGAACTGATAACGTTCATAGATTTCGTTAGTTTCGCCGACACAAAACACCTCTAATTTTTCCAGGACCACATCAATGTCCTTGCGCTCCCCATAATTGGCAAAATTCAAACCATCTACAATCTCCAACGCATCAGTACCTAAGCACGTGAGCAATGTGGCCGTCCTCTCCTCTTTCGGTTGCCTCACCAGACGAGACGCTATTTCATAATTAGACCACACTCGTGGAAAACGTTTCGTAAAAATGGCTTTTGGCATGTGCAACTGGATGATGAAAGTAACAAGTTTACAACCTTTCCTACTCCGTGGGGACGTTTCCGATGGCTGAGAATGCCTTTAGGCATTGCAGCTGCTCCAGAGGAGTTCCAGTGCAGCTTAATGAGGCACTCGAAGGACTTGATGGAGTCAGGGCCATAGCAGATGACATAATTGTCTTTGGTGTAGGTCACACAGATGATGAAGCTGTGGTAGACCATGATTGTAAACTGTTAGCTTTGTTGGAGCGCTGTCGTCAGAGACACATCAGGCTGAAGAAGGACAAGATGAAGTTCAAGTTGCCCCAGCAGTCTTATGTTGGCCATGCTATTTCGGCAGAAGGGTTGAAGCCGGATCCAGCCAAGGTTGAGGCGATACTAAACATGCCACCACCTGCTGATAAGCGAGGCCTTCCAAAAATTATGGGAATGGTGAACTATCTGCAGAAATTTGCACCTAGGTTGTCTGAAGCTACCACTCCTATCAGAACCTTGCTTAAAGATAACTGTGAATTTGTTTGGGAAGAAAGTGTTCATGGCGAATGCTTCAAGCGTGTTAAAGCAGTGATAGCTTCTGCGCCTGTCTTAAAGTACCTTGTCCCAAGTGTAGAGGCTGTATTAGAGTGTGATGCTTCTCAGCATGGTCTAGGAGCTTGCTTGATGCAAGATGGACAACCAGTTGCGTATGCTTCTCGTTCTCTAACAGAAACTGGGTGCAATTATGTCCAGATGGAAAAGGAGCTTTTGGCCAGTAATTGGCGTCGAGAAGTTTGAGTCTTATCTCTATGCCAGGAAGGTCAAGGTGGAGACTGACCATGAACCGTTGGAAGCGATACTTGTGAAGAGTCTGTTTAGTGCTCCTAAGCGTCTTAAGAGAATGATGTTAAGTTTGTAAGACTTTGATTTTGAAGTTGAGTACAAGAAAGGCACTCTTCTCCATCTGGCTGATACACTTAGCAGAGCGTTCCTTCCACATGTTCAGGTCAAGTGTTCAAAGAAGGATGTCTTTCTTACTGCGGATGTTCGATCTCCTGTTGAGCAAGAGGTTGAAAGCGTTAATGCATTGAGTTTTGTATCCATCAGTTCTCAAGGCCTTGCCAGAGTTCAACAAGCAACCGAGGCAGATGGTGAAATGGTCCTCCTAAAGGATGTCATTCAGGCTGGATGGCCTGACACGAAAGAGCAAGTTCCACTCAGCATCCAGAACTATTTCCATTTTAGAGGTCAGCTGTCTGTCCAGGATGGTTTGGTGCTGAAGGCTGAAAGATTAGTAGTTCCGCAAAGTTTGAGGGAGGAAATAAAACAGAAACTGCACCAGAGTCATCTTGGTCTTCAGGGTTGTTTGAGGGAGGAAGAGAGCTGGTTTATTGGCCTGGAATGAATAAGGACATTGAGGATTTCACCTCGTCTTGTTCTGTTTGCAAGACGTACTAAGCCGATCAACAGAAAGAGCCAATGATCAGTCATGAAATTCCGAGCAGACCGTTGGAGAAAGTTGGCTGTGATCTCTTGGGCTTTGAGGATAAACATTATTTAGTATGTGTGGACTACGTCTCGGATTACTTTGAGGTGGACAGGATTTTTGGAAAGAAAGGAAAGGAAGTGATTTCAAGGTTAAAATCTCAGTTTGCTCGACATGGAATACCGGATCAATTTATAAGTGACAATGGACCACCTTTCAGTTCAAGAGAGTTTCAGGATTTTCACTGGCCTATGAGTTTGAGCACCTCACAAGTTCTCCAGGGTATCCTCAATCGAATGGGAAAGTTGAGAATGCAGTTAAGGTGGCTAAAAATATCATGAGGAAGGGCCGACTTGCAGAAGCAGATCCAAATTTGTCTTTATTGGATTAGAGAAGTACTCTAACTGAGGGAATTGAAAGCTCTCCTGCTCAGCAATTGTTTGGTCGGAGAACTGAAACTTTGGTCCCAACGTCTACAAGACTACTTGTTCCAGAAGCGGTACATCGTGTTCCTAACAAGCTAAAGGAAAGGAAAGTCAAACAGACTTACTACCATGACAGAGCTGCCAAAGAGTTCGACAGATTAAAACCTGGAAACGTAGCATGTGTGAAGCTGAGACCTGATTCGAGGGAGTGGACTAAGGCAACTGTTGATAAGGAAGTTGACATTAGATCATATCAAATTCGAACAGAGGATGGCCGTACATACAGGAGGCATCATAGACATCTCAGGCACACCATGGAGCCTTTCCTAACAGCGCCATTTATGGAGTTTTCAACCAACCTGTCACAGTTACAGCAACAAAAAGGGGTAGTTCCCAGTGGCAATTTTTCCGTTTCCGAAGCAACAACCAGAAAGCCTGCTTCCAAAGTATCAACTAGGGAGCTCGCCTCGGGGGCACCAAACAGGAAACCCGTTTCCGAAGCAGCAACCAGTTCTTCAGTCATCCACAGCCGGAGCCACTCGGTGTTCGATAAGTTAGATCCGGTGGCATACTTTCAGTCCCTGCTTCTGGAGTTTCTACCAGTGAGCCAGCTCTCTCTGCTACCACCCCTAGAAGTGGCAGAGTGATTAGGAAACCAGTCAGATATGAGTCCTGAACAGTGATAGGAGTCAAGAACATTGAATAGGAGCTTGAAACTGTTGCTGAATCTGGTCCATATTTCATCATTTTCTTTATTTATCGTTCGGAGAAGTTTTTTTGTTTAATTTAGCCAGATAAAAGTGTGACAGTTTGAGAAAAAAGTTGAGTTTAACAGATTCGATATAGTTACGTTGCATGAGGAACCAATGTGGTTCAGTTAATATTTTGCACCAACAAGTGTTATTGAGATTTACAGTGGTCAGTGTCTTTGAAAATAAGTCTAGCGTTTGATTTTCTTCCAGACTTAATGCAAGTACTAGGAAGTCACGCACTCTTAAAATTGTAAGTATGGTGTGCATTTTTTCAGAATACCCCACTCTACGATGATCAGCAAACATCTATCCTAATGCATAGTAATGATTTATTTTACCCACGCCTTAATACCCTTGTGAATCAGATGAAGTTTGGATTTAGAAGTCAGATTGCACTTTGCCGACAGGTTACCATTATTCTCAGAAATTGGTGATGCATTTACACGTCAAATCGTCTTGGTATTAATTCGAAAATGCTTGATGAAAGGGCATTAAAGTTAGCGAATGTCATTATATAATAAAAAAAAATCTTGTACAATTAGGACTTTCCTATATTCTGGATTGCAAAACGATCAAACGAAAATAGAGAAAAGAACGTATTATACCATGAAATGGACAATGTTCCCAATCATTATGGGAAAGAAACTATGCTAAACTAAACGTTACTTTCGTTTCGCTGGAAAACAGAACGAGGGATTTGAACTGGAAAGCATCAATGGAAACCTTAACACTGTCGCGCATCATGGCCCAGGACATTACATGGACCTGAATGAAGTTAGGTCACGAAATGGACCTGCCACAGACCCAACACGAATCTATTTAGAAATAAACGAATATGCTCCCCTGCATCCAGGAACGCGCTCGTGGGAAGTGGAGAGAGAAAACGTTACAATTGAAAAGGTGATCGGAAAAGGTGCCTTTGGACAAGTCGCTCAAGGAAAAGCTTCAAACCTTCGAGGAAGAGAGGAGACAATAACAGTTGCCATAAAAATGCTGAAAGGTACTCTATTCATTCTGTTAAGTCAGATTTAGTTTAGATAAGCCTTAACTCTTACTGGATAATCTTCCTCTGCTTTAGGAAACGCTAGAGATATAGAAAGGAAAGATTTGCTGTCAGAGCTTGAAATCATGAAGAAACTCAAGCCCCACCCTCACGTCATCAAATTGCTGGGATGCGTCACTAAATCAGGTGAAAAAAATAAAATTATGAGACTTCTCAGTTTATGTCTGCTCGCATCACCCCTGTGACGATATTTTGTGTGCTTTACATGAGGTGTTGTTCGAGATATAAGTATGTAGCCCGGTATAAAGCGTGTTGGGTTTTTATTCTATTAAAGTTGTCTTGACGTATCGAGTGTTCCTCGCTGTCTTCGTTGAGTTTACCTAGCATCTCCGACAACGTTACATGGTGTCAGGAGTGGGAGAATGGTTCCTCTTCAGAGCTTTATTTAATGGCCTTGGGTCAAGACAAAGACGGGTCTTCCCATTGGGCTTCATGACTACCACTGTGGACGATATCCACTCTGTTGGATCTGAGACCTTCGCTATGATAACTATCTCAACCAGCCTATTCAGTTCTTCCGGATATTTCTCTTTCAGTGCAACGGGTGGTTTGCGAGCTGGAAGTTGAACCGGTGGTACACATTGATCCACTTGAAGGTGCAGCTTGCCCATTAGCATGCCCTCACCCTCAAAAACGTCTTTAAATTGTGAGACAACTTGACTAGCTGTAAGACACGGTGTCTCCCCACCAGTAAATCCATCAACAGTCAGAATATTCTGCATGTTAACAGTAATAAGCTCCATACCCTGAATGGCAGATGCACCCAGAACAGGCTTATTCTCTTCCCTAACAATCTGGAACTCGAGATTGTACTTCCTATTGTTCTTGGAATTACGCAAACTAATCCTCCTCTTTCCAAGTGGGCATATTTCAGTACCATTGTATATACTGAGAATTGCCTCAAAGGCCTTCACCTCTTTAAGCTCAGGGTCATCACAAACCTTCTTATACCCTCTTGCGGGTAGCACATTCACTGTTGCTCCACTATCCAACTGAAACTAGATGTCCTGTCCGTTAACTACCATTTTTGCATACAACTTTTGAGATTCAACACTTTCCAGTTACTCTGCACTTACAGTCAAAATACATTCTTCAGAGGACGAATCTTCTTGCATTGTATGAACTAGCTTACTAGTCTTCTTTTTCTTCTTAGGAAGCCGTGAAGACTTCGAAGGCTTTGTACATTTGACTGCAAAGTGGTTCTTTTCTCCACACTTGCTACAATTTTTCCCCATGCGGGACATTCTTCTTTATTTTTAACATGCTTCTTACCACGAAATTTGCAAGTTATCGCAGCTTTACCACCTTTATCTTGGTTTTTGTTATCTACTGGAGACTTGAACTTTTGCTTGTCATCAGCAACAAGCTTTGAGTCTTCCTGAATCCACATCGCTTGAAGCTGTACCGCTGTTGCTTCACTAGTATGACAAATATCGATGCACTTATTCAATGTGAGTTTTGCCTCCTGTAATAGTTGCTTACGTGTGCCATTGTCCTTTATTCCAACCACCATTCTGTCGCGAATGAGACTGTCCAAAAGTGCACCATAATTACACGTCCTCGCCAATGTGCGAAGTGCCGCAACATACGAATCAATGGACTCTCCTGACTCGTGATCCCTCTTGTTGAACTGATAACGTTCATAGATTTCGTTAGTTTCGCCGACACAAAACACCTCTAATTTTTCCAGGACCACATCAATGTCCTTGCGCTCCCCATAATTGGCAAAATTCAAACCATCTACAATCTCCAACGCATCAGTACCTAAGCACGTGAGCAATGTGGCCTTCCTCTCCTCTTTCGGTTGCTTCACCAGGCGAGACGCTATTTCATAATTAGACCACACTCGTGGAAAACGTTTCGTAAAAATGGCTTTTGGCATGTGCAACTGGATGATGAAAGTAACAAGTTTACAACCTTTCCTACTCCGTGGGGACGTTTCCGATGGCTGAGAATGCCTTTAGGCATTGCAGCTGCTCCAGAGGAGTTCCAGTGCAGCTTAATGAGGCACTCGAAGGACTTGATGGAGTCAGGGCCATAGCAGATGACATAATTGTCTTTGGTGTAGGTCACACAGATGATGAAGCTGTGGTAGACCATGATTGTAAACTGTTAGCTTTGTTGGAGCGCTGTCGTCAGAGACACATCAGGCTGAAGAAGGACAAGATGAAGTTCAAGTTGCCCCAGCAGTCTTATGTTGGCCATGCTATTTCGGCAGAAGGGTTGAAGCCGGATCCAGCCAAGGTTGAGGCGATACTAAACATGCCACTACCTGCTGAACCTTGCTTAAAGATAACTGTGAATTTGTTTCGGAAGAAAG